GTCTCACCTCGATGCCGAGATAGTAGGAGAGTGCGTCGAGATCGCTCATTCAAAAATGAGCTGCCATCTCGCATTTGAAGTTGTCGATGTCCTCCGCACGTGCGCCGGTGACGATCAAGTCATCGACATACACGCCGATGACGAGCTCCTCCTTCCCCCGTCGCCGCGTCTAGAGCGTGTGCTCGGTTGCGCACCGCGTGAACCCAAGCTCGCCCAGCGTGGCGTTAAGCTTGGCGTTCCACGCTCATGGGGCCTGCCACAGCCCGTAGAGCGCCTTACGTAGTTGGAGCACCCTGTGCTTGGCTCCCTTGACGGCGAAACCCAGAGGTTGCCTGACGAAGACCGTCTCCGCCAGCTCGCCGTTGAGAAAGGCCGATTTTACATCTAGGTGATGGACGCGCCAGTCCTTCACTGTTGCCAAAGCCAGCAGCAGTAGGATAGACTCCATGCATGCTACCGGCACAAAGACTTCCTCGAAGTCGATGCCCTCGTGTTGGACAAAGCCTCGAGTGACGAGGCACGCCTTGTGCTTGACAATGGCACCGCGCTCGTCCCGCTTGACCTTGTACCCCACTTTAGGCCGATCGGACGACATCCTGGAGGTGGATTGATGAGCTCCCAAGTCTTATTTTCCTCGATCGCCTTCATCTCCTCCAACATCGCCCGTCGCCAATTTGCATTGCGCTCGGCCATCGCAAACATGGGTGGTTCCTCTACACTAACGAGAAGCTGCTCTAGGTCATTGAGCAACCGACTCGCCAGGCCTGAGGACCCTATGACGCCGACAAGGTCGTCCAGCCTGCGAAACCGTACCTCCTCACCGCTGTGAAAAGCATCCACGAACTCTGTGATGTCGCTAGGAGGTGAGGCGAACTCGATCGACGTCGATGGAGTCCCCTATTCCACCGGAGTGGTCAGCACAACACCCGAAGTGTTCGGCACCCCAGCTGCAGTGCTCGGCACTACTCCTACACTGCTCGTCACCACTCCTGGAGTGGTTGGCACCACTGCAAGAGTGTTTGACACCAGTCTTGGAGTGGTCGGCACCACTGCAAGACCCTCTAGCACCGCTACGGGAGCGTTCGGCACCCATCCTATAGTGGTCGGCACCACTCCTAGAGTGCTTGGCACCCCTCCCGTAGTGCTCGACACCGCCCTAGGAGTGCTCGGCTCGGCTGCTAGAGTGGTCGGCACCTCCTCTCCAGCATCTCCACCACCGTGGATGACCAAGTGCTCGACGATGAAGGTGTTGGTGAAGCCGCCAGCTTCCTCCATGCTCGGACTGTCCCAGTCCAGGCCGCCTTCTCATTGAACACAATATCGCGTGAGACAACCACCTTGCCTCTACGTGGGTCGTAGAGCCAGTACACCTTGGTATCTTCCTCGTAGCACCAGGAGCACCATCGATGTGCTCCTGTCCTCCAGCTTGGTGAGGACCGGCTTCATCTTTCTAACGTGGCCGATGCAGCCGAATGTCCGGAGGAAGGACACGCTCGGCTTGCGCCCATACCAAGCTTCGAACGGCATCACGTCCTTCAGGGCCTTTGTCGGCGCATGGTTGAGGATGAACACCACCGTAGTCACCGCCTCACCCTAGAACCTTGTCGGTATGCTCTTGGCCTTCATCATGGATCGAGCCATGCCAACCATCATCTGGTTTCGCCGCTCTACCATGCCATTCTACTGTGGCGAGTAGGGCGCGGTGTGGTGTCGCACCACACCCTGACCTGCGCAGTACGCAGCGAACTCCACCGAAGTGAATTCGCTGTCGCGATCAGTCCACAGCACGCGTAGCTTCTTGCCGCTCTCCACCTCTGCGCGCGCCTTGAACTTCTTGATCGCCTCGCCGCCTTGTCCTTGCTCGTCAGGAGTTGTAGCCACATATAGCGTCTGCAATCATCCATGAGCAGGAGGAAGTACCGCCGACCACTGTTTGTGACTGGCATGATTGGCCCATAGAGATCGCCGTGGATGAGCTCAAGACCATCTGCCGCGTGATACTTGGCCGCCTTTGACAACAACAGCCTCCTCTGCTTCCCGGCCAGGTAGCTGTCACACAGCTCGCCTCCGTGCTTGATGTGGGGCAGCCCTCGGACCATCTTCTCTAGCCGACCGAGCGCGTCGAAGCTGAGATGGCCGAACCGAGCATGCCAAAGCCACGACTCCTCGGTGTGCCATGCTGCCAGGCACACCGGCTGCTCCACCTTCAAGTCGAGCAGGTACAATCAATTACGTGAGCGTTTTACCTTCGCGAGAAGACGCTGGTCCCGATCCAGAATCTTTAGGATCCCGCTCTTGATCAGTACCTCGCATCCACGCTCGTCTAGCTGCCCAATGCTGACGATGCTTGAACGCAACTGCGGGATGTAGTACACATCCGTCAGCACGCGGTGCTCACCGTTCTGGCACCTGAAGATGATGGTGCCGCGCCCTCGGATCGCCACCCTTGAGCCATCACCAAACTTCACCGTGCCGGTCACATTGCCGTTGAGCTCAAAGAAGGCTTCCTTGGAGCCCATCATATGGTTGCTGGCGCCGGAGTCGAGGTACCACCGCTGCTCCTACTCGCCGCCCACACGTCCGAGGTGGACTTGGACGCGTGGTTCGTCAAGAATGACAGACTTTAGAGCCTTGATGTGCCCTTCCACCGCCATCATCTCTTCTTCTTCTTCGTCTCAACGTCGTGCAGTGCATAGAACATTGCCATCAGGAGAGTGGCCTCATCATCCTCATCAGCCTGTGCTAAAAGAGCCTCAGCCTTCTTCTTCTGCTAGCGATTTGGGCATTCCTTTGCCCAATGGCCCGTCTTCCCACAGCGTTGGCAGGCGTTGGGGTCGACCTTCTTCTTCTTCTCCGAAGAAGCCTTGTGCTGCGGCGCTTGCCATCGCCACCGCGACTGTAGGAGGCTTCCTGGACTTCTTCATCCGGGCAGCCCACTCCTCTATCAGCAGCTGCTTGCTACTGTCCGTCGTTGCTGTGGCCTGCTCCATGCGCTCATCCACCGCCCGCAGATGGCCTATCACATCCTCAATGGTGAGGGTGGACAAGCCCAGCATCGTCTATATGGAGAGAGCGATCTGGATGTACTTCACCGGTACGGAGTGGAGGTACTTGGAGATCGCCTCTTCTTCGTCGATGGTGACGCCGTGGCTCCTCAGCTTGCTGATGAGCGACTGCAGGCAGAGAGAGAAGTCCTCCACCGACTCACCATCCTTGAACTTGAGGGTGGCATACTCCTACTTCAGTAGCTAGGCCGTCACCTTCTTTGCGCGGTCGGAGCTGACGCGTATCGCTGCAATGGCCTCCAACGCCTCCTTAGCAGAGTTCTTCGTCTCCAATGGCTCCCTATACTACGCTGGCACAGCAGCGAGGATAGTCTCCAACGCTGACATGTCGTCTTCTTCGTTGTCGGTGTCCTTGTCAATGGCATTCCAAAGCCGTTGGGCTCTGAGCTTGACCTTTATGGTCACTTTCCACTCGCCATAGTTGGTGCGAGTCAGCGTCGGCCAACTGGTGCCGCTGACCTCCCGCACCGTGCACACGACGACCTACTGTTGTGGCTGGGCAGCCACAGCAGCGCCGCTGCTGTCGCCCATCTCCAAACCACCCATCATCGTCAGCGGTTAGTCCGGCGACGACGCTTATACGGCTCCAATACCACTTGTTGGCCTCTGGATCTTTCACACGAGTGAGCCGACCGCTCACCAGCGTTGCCGACCACACACTATGGCTAGAGGTAGAAGAAGGGAGGGAGAACAGAGCGCGCGCACATAGTACAAGCACCAGCGTTGGCCGGAGCTCTGCAGAGGAGATGGCAAAACTGAACTCGCTCGCTTTACTCAGTTGCAGTGGGAAGCTATAAATACAACTCTACCCATCTAATCATAGTACACAGATATGCACAGGCTGTCATGCTGTTACAGTGACTAGATGTGACAGCAGAGCTGACTTTGACGCCTGCCCTTGCTATGGCTACAGTACGAGAGGGGAGCCTTTTGGCGCCTGCCCCTACTGCGGCTACAGTGTAGCAGCAGAGAATCCTTTCAACGTCTAACTCTACCGCGCGTTCACACTAATGGAAGAACAACAGATTACTTTACAAGGCTGCTCCAGATCAACCAGCATGCCACGATATGAGCCCGGATGTGTCGTACGCGGAACCAATCAGGCCCTATACGAAATTGGTATGCATCATGGTGAGGAGCTGTGATTATTCAGTGCGAATTCATTGGGTGAGAGCCCTCTCGAGTTCTCTGGCCAATTTCCAATATGAACATGAAATTACCTATGTATATATTTTTGCCCTATTCTACTGCACTACTTCCGATACTTTTCAGCGAATCAATGGTATTTTTTGTCTCACAGCATTTCAGCATAAGCATTAACGTAAACCAAATTTCAACGAAACAGAACAGGGCTACGTGAACCCCACGTTTCTGTGTATAACAAAAATCATCTCCACTCCATATGTTTTCTGAGGGATCACTCCATATGTTCACATCGAACGAGTTCAAACAATTTTATACGGCGCGGCAAAAAATACTCGTTGGTGAAAGGATTGCCGTCTCCGGTAATCACATCGATCAAACCATTCCGTACGCCATGCGCATCAGTGCAAGTTCAAACTGATGTACCAAGCGGAAAGGTTACTATCGCCTTGTTTAGTTGGACCCCAAAGTCCAAAAAGTTGGACGATTAACCTCGAACCATCAAACAATGCAGAGCGTAGAGCATTAAATGTAGATGAAAATAAAAACTAATTGCACAGTTTGGTGGGAAATTGCGAGACGAACGTTTTGAGCCTAATTAGTCCATGTTTGAACACTATTTGCCAAATAAAAACGAACGTGCTACAGTAGCCCCAAAATCCAAATTCACCCACCTAAACAAGGGCTATATATATAATCCCATGGACGATTAACCTCGAACCATCAAACAAAGCAGAGCACGGAAAAAAATAGAGTGAGAAGGAGCTCGAGCATTTCTTCAGGCAAGCAAAGATGGCCGGTGCAGGAGCTGTATCCGCCAGAATGGCGCTGTTCTTCCTAGTCACGCTCTGCGCCTCCCAGATGGGGTCCTCCCTTCGCCCCGGCGTTGGCGTCGGCCTCGGCACGTACAGCGCCAGCGGGTACCTCCCGGGCCGCTCTAGCAACTGCGAGAAGAGCAATGATCCGGACTGCTGCGAGGACCGAGGATGGCAAGAAGTAGCTAGTACCCACAGTACCGATGCTCGCCACCGGTGACAGCGAGCACCAAGGCCGTGCTGACGCTCAACAACTTCGAGAAGGGCAAGGACGGCGGCCCATCAGAGTGTGACAACGCGAACCACAGCGACGAGGAGAAGGTGGTGGCGCTCTCCACGGGGTGGTTCAGCAACATGGCGCGTTGTGGGCACCGCATCAAGATTAGTGCCAACGGCAACTCTGTGTATGCGAAGGTGGTGGACGAGTGCGACTCTGTGCACGGCTGTGACGACGAGCACAACTTTGAGCCGCCGTGCGACAACAACATCGTTGACGCCTCGCCGGCGGTGTGGGACGCCCTAGGACTCGACCAGAACCTCGGGATGGTGGATATCACTTGGTCTGAGGAGTGAGAGGTAGTTGATGGCTGTGTTGTGTCTGCTCCATCTGTTAGTGAAAGAGTTTAGGATGGAGCCAACAACCTTTGCTGTATTGATCTCTGTATGTTTTATACAAGTACAGGGCAGTGGAACTGCCGGCGCGAGGCGCGTCTACGGGCCGAGCGCACGGACGCGGAGCCACGACGTGGGCGACATTGTGGCTGACTAGCGCGTAACCACGGCGACAGCAGAGCGGGAAAAACCTCAGCTAGCCTATCCGAAGTAATACAAATTACACACTTTATCAAACACCCCCCCCCCGCGCAGTTTGATGAGTCATAGGCATGACACAAAGACTGTCCCTGAAAGCCTTGAAGGTCTTCGTCGTGAGTCCTTTCGTCATGATGTCAGCATACTGCTCACCCGTCGGCACATGTAGAACGCGTAGCTCACTAGCCTGCACCCGTTCACGCACGAAATGGATGTCGAGTTCGATATGCTTCGTTCTCTTGTGATGCACCGGATTCGCAGACATGTAGATAGCCGATACATTGTCACAGAACGCGACTGTAGCCTTCAGAATGGGGTAGTGAAGTTCGCTGAGAAGTTGCCGTAGCCAAATGCACTCGCCGGCGGCATTGGCCACCACGCAGTATTCCGCCTCCGCGCTGGATCGCGACACGCTGGGCTGTCGCTTGGACGACCACGACACCAAGGAGTCGCCAAGGAACACGCAGAAGCCAGACGTTGAGCGTCGAGTGTCAGGGCACCCAGCCCAATCCGCGTCGGAGTACGCCGTGACGTCGAGGTTCGGTGAGGCGTGGAGCAGGAGGCCGTGCGACGTCATGCCGCGGACGTAGCGCAAGATCCGCTTCAGCTGTGCCTAATGTTGTTGGCGCGGATCATGCATGTAGACGCATGCTTGTGGCACGGCGAAGGCGAGGTCCGGCCGTGTCACTGTCAGGTACTGCAGGGCGCTGGCGATGCTGCGGTATGACGTCGCGTCTGGCACAGAGGGTCCATCGGAGGAAAGCTTGCCTTTCCCGTCGATCGGCGTCATGGCGGCCTTGCAGTTGGACATGCCCGCGCGCTGAAGAATATCCTCGGCATACCGGCTCTGGGAGAGGTAGAAGCCGGCCGCTGTGCGCTAGACATCGATGCCGAGGAAGAAGCGCAGGTCACCCATGTCTTTGACAGCGAACTCGGAGCGGAGGGCGTGGACGATCTGGTGCAATAGCGAAGAGCTCGATGCAGTGATGACCATGTCGTCGACGTAGAGGAGGAGGTAGGCGACGCCGGATCCTCGGCGAAGAACGAAAATGGCGGAGTCGGATTGAGTCGCCTGGAAGCCGAGACGAACAACGTATGTTGCGAACCGAGTGAACCATGCCCGTGGCGCCTGGCGAAGACCATACAAGGATTTGTCGAGGCAACAAACGGCCTGAGGACGCTCAGCATCCACGAAGCCAATGGGTTGCTGGCACAACATGAATTCATCGAGATGTCCGTGGAGAAAAGCATTCGAGACATCAAGATGCCGAGTCGGCCATTGCTTGGAGGCGGCGATGGTGAGCACTGTGCGCACGGTGGCCGGTTTGACGACCGGCGTGAAGGTCTCCTTGAAATCGACCCCGGCGCGCTGTGTAAAGCCGTGTACCACCCATCTCGCCTTGTACCGCTCAAGAGAGCCGTCTGGATTCAGTTTGTGCTTGAAAAGCCATTTACCCGAGATGATGTGCGCACCAGTGCCGGAGTCAACCAAACGTCATGTCCGGTTTGCTTGCAAGGCGGAGAACTCAGCCTCCATGGCACCGCGCCAATTGGGATCACGCAAAGCTTCCCGAGCGGATGAAGGGATCGGTGAGATAGGCGTGGTGGTTGTAGCCATGGCGTATCGAGGATTGGGCTTGAAAACACCAGCACGAGCACGAGTGACCATAGGATGTGCGGGAGGTGGAGGTGGTGTGGGCGATGGTGCTGGTGCGGTGGAACTCTGGGGTGAACCAGAGCTGGTAGACCTAGGGTCGGGCTGCACATCGGCCATGTTAGGTGAAGGTGGAGGCTACGTGGGCGCTGAGCTTACCACAGGGGACAAGGCGATGCTGGGCGCAAAGACGCAACAACGTTTCGGTGGGGCATCCGGCAGATGCACTTGACCGTCTTCCAAGGCGACCGAGGAAGGCGACGTGGGCGACGTCGTGGGCACGGATGGCGGCCGGAATGGAAACACAGTTTCGTCGAACAGCACATGACAAGAAGTAATGACGCGACGGCTAGGAAGGTCGAAGCACCGATAGCCGCGGTGGTCAGATGGGTAGCCTAGAAGAACACACGCGCTGGAGCGAGCACTCAGCTTGTGCGGTGCGATGGCTGTTTGGTTGGGAAAGCATAAACAACCGAAGACCCGAAGGTGGTTGTATGATGGTGGAGCACCCAGAAGACGCTCGAAGGGTGTGATCGGTGCCGTGGCGTGGCATGGACGCCGATTGAGTAGATGAGTGGCGATGGCGAGAGCTTCACCCGAGAAAGGAAAAGCAGGCTGCATGAAGAAGAAGAAGATGCGCACGCAGCGATCGTTAAGTGTGCATATGATCCGCTCGGCTTTGCCGTTTTGCGCTGAACTGTATGGGCAAGAAAGGCGGAAGGCGATGCGTGTGTGCGGCAAAATGCCGACGGACTCTGAGTGTTGTCAAATTCGTTGCCGTTGTCGGTTTGGAAGGAAATGAGTGGCAACTGAAATTGCGTCAGGACATAGGCATGGAATGAAATCAGACATTGAGCAACTTCAGATTTGGCACATAAAGGAAATGTCCAAACGAAGTGAGTACAAGCATCAATTAAAACCAAATAGTATTTGAAGCCGGAGTTGCTCGGAACAGCGAGGTCCAAACATCACCGTGTACAAGCTGGAAAGGAACATAACAAACTGAAGAAGAGGAGAGAAAGGAAGATGGGCATGCTTGCAAAAGTCGACAGGACTGGCAAGTATGAGCTCTTGTCTTTGTACAAGTAAACTCGAATCGGCGAAGAGTACGTTGGAGGAGTCCGGCCAGGATGCCCGAGGCGTTGATGCAACAGATCAGCGGAGGTAGAGCTGGACAGCGGCGCTTGATCTGAGATGGAGGCCAAAGAGGATAGAGCTCGTCGTCGCTATTACATTGGAGCATCTGCGTCCGAGTAGGTAGATCCTTGATAGAAAAACCGAAGGGATCAAATTTGACAAAAATGTTGTTATCGCGAGTGAAAGAACGAACGGATATGAGATTTTTAACAAGATCGGGAAATAAGAACATTGTTCGGATGAAAGGGAGTGCCGGGAATTACAGAGTTGGCGGTGTGGGTGACGGGCATGGAAGTCCCATTGCCAACGGTGATGGGTGCATAATGAAGAAAGGGGCAGAAGAAAATGTACCGAGCCCGAAGCCATGTGAGAAGTGGTGCTGTATCCAAGAACCACTCGGATGCTTGAGGTCCGTGGTGGCACATTGGGCGTGGCTGAGCGAGGAGCGCTGCGATTCCACACACTAGAGGAAGAAGAGGCCAAGCGGGTCTTTGGTGCCGGCGTGATGCAGAGCCGAGGTATCGCTGCCGAGGAGAAGCTGCGGGTCGAGGGCCGAGGATGCAGTAGCCGGGAGCAGCGAACGACATTGGCCATGCTTGAACCATGCCGGTCCAGGGTTGAAGCCGGGAACCCATGGCGAGGGTGGGCGGTTGCCACCGGTTCCGCCCCCGTTGGCGTGGGCGCCGCCATCGTGTGGGCCACCAGAGGAGTTGTTGCTGCGCCACCAGCTTCTTGTTGCCGCGGTTGTCGTGCCGCGTGCCAGCGCCCATGGTTAGTTGGCTGGATCGAGGGACGCTTGACATTGGCGTGAGCAGGAGGCTGTGCAAAGAAAGCGGACGAGGGGCACCGGTCGCTAGGTGGGCCTAGTGAGGCGCGCCATCCGGCGTGCTCCTTGTCGAAGCGCTCCTCAAGAAGAAGATAGGACCGCGCCAAAAGGAAGGTGTGGGGAGGTTGCTTGGAGGTGATAACAGGGATGACATGACGGTATTTGGAATTGAGCCCGCGAAGCATGTTGAGTACCTGGCTCGTCTCACGAACAGGCTGCCCGACGTCACGGAGCGCGTCGGTGAGCGACTTCAGGCGACTACAATACTCGTGGATGGACATGTCGCCCTAGTAGATGTTGCGGTACTCAGCCTCCAGGTACACAGCTCGATGTAGCTCGTTGTCGCGGAACTCGTTCTCGATCGCACGCCAAACGGAGTAAGCAGTATTGCGCGGTCGGCGAACGACGTCGAGCACGTCGGTGGAGATGGTGAGGAATATCCAGTTGACAAGGCATTGATCGATCACACGCCACTCGGCATTGTGGCACTGGGCGGAGGTGGGGGAAACAGCGATGTGGGAGCCGAGGCCAAATTTGCCGACGACGCTGTCAAAGAACGTGCGCCATTGAGCATAGTTCGGATTGGCGAGATCCAGAACGATGGGGACGTGGGACTTGATGTTGATGGTTTGAAGAACCGAGGCAGGAGGAGTCACGACGGGAACATCATCGTCGAGATCGCTGGAAGAGGTGGAGGAAGAAAGACGAGGGGAAACAGGAGAGGAGGTTTCCTGATAGGAGAAGAGAGGATTGGAGTTCATGCCGTTCATGGCGTCCATAGTGGCGCAGCGGAGAGAAGATGGGCGGCGGGAGGCTAAGCAGGATCACACCGCGCTTACTGATACCATGAAAGAGTTTAGGATGGAGCCAACAACCTTTGTTGTATTGATCTCTGTATGTTTTATACAAGTACAGGGCAGTGGAACTGCCGGCGCGAGGCGCGTCTGCGGGCCGAGCGCACGGACGCGGAGCCACGACGTGGGCGACATCGTGGCTGACTAGCGCGTAACCACGGCGACAGCAGAGCGGGAAAAACCTCAGCTAGCCTATCCAAAGTAATACAAATTACACACTTTATCAGTTAGCACTTGGCATGTGCCGCGTACATATACGATGAGAGGATACAGGTTGTGGGCTCATTGCGTTTGCTAGTGTATCGTATTCATGTCATGTCATTACTGCATATGGACATATATATGTCATTGTTGAATATTGAATAATAGTGCATGAAGTAATGATGAAAGGGCCTCTAATTAGGTGGCTTGAATATCAAGCCTTAGTCCTGGGTCGTACTCTCCTAGGGAGCAAATTTTAGGTTAGGATTCAAAAATCCACTCGTCTGTCCTAGGTCTAGTTCTGGTCGATCTCAGGTACTAGATGGTGAAGAGGTCAATGGCACCAATGCTCAGGACGCAAGGCGGTAGTCCTCAAGCCAGTGACCCGGTTTTATATCCTTGTTGTATTTCCTGAGGTAGGCTTCTGAGAACGCCGGTGCTAGTCGCAGTCACCGTGGTGGCGGTTGCAACCACAATCAGCCCGTTCGTTTCGGCTGAAACAATCGTGAATTAAGCTAGAAGTACTGCTGGCTGGTTTGATGTGAGAGAAAAATATTGTTCTAGCTTATAATCCACGATCGTATAAGCCGAAACGAACATGTTGAATAGCCATAGTTGTCACGGTCGTCATGCCATCATCGCAATGGTCGTGGCTGTCATTACAGTTGACGTAGCGTATGTTCTTGAGGTTGTGACGAGTTCGCCGCTCATGTTGATGGTGTCGCAAGTCCAAGCTGACGTTGGTCTAATAGTGGGCCGAACTGGCAGGGCAATGGGGCTCAATTTGTTGATCACGACTGTTGTGTCGTTGTAGTGCGGAGACAAGGGGGCGGCTAGGGTCAACCCCTCACCCCCAACTAAAGATGTCAACGAGGCCCCGTTCTCGATTCCCCACGGGGAATTCTCCCATTAGGGGACGGGGATGGTATAAATTTTCTCCCCATGGGAAAAATCATCCCCATCGGGTATGATGGGGACGAGGATGGTATGCATGCCCCCGTCCCCGTTCACCGCGGGGACCCGATGCCTCCGTCTCCCTCACGCCCCTCATGCCCCTGATAGCGGCGTGCCCCCGACGCCTCTACCTCTTCCTCCCTCCACTATCTCTCTGTCTCCCTCGGCGGCGCTCCCCTCCCCCAGCCCGATGCCCCCTCCACTCCCCTCCCCATCTGGCGGCAACCCCTCCCCTCTCCAACCCGGTGGCTGGCAGCGCACCCTCCCCTCCCCTCCGGCGAGGGCTCGTGGCGGCGAGGCCTCCCAGATCAGGAGCACGGCGCCGCGCGCGGATCTCCTCTCCATCCCGGCAGCGCTCCCTCCTCTCCCCATCCCGGTGGCCGGATCCGGAGCACGACACGGCGCGGCGCGCTACCCGCCTCACAAACCCTAGCTCTCCCGGTCTCTCCCTCTCCCATGCGCCCCAAACCCTAGCTTGCCGCCCGCCCACGGCCTACCCGTCGGTCATGCGTGCCTCCGCCTCCGCGGTCCCCATGGAAGCCCCCGCCTCCGCCTCCGCCCGTAGATCCGCCACGGGCCCCGACCCCTGTGGCGCCAAGAAGCCGCGCCTCGCGTGAGCCGCCGCCCATGGGACCCCAGATCTTCTGTTGCCGCCGCTTCCTCCAATGGCGCGCTTAGCGCCCGCGAGCAAGCGCTGGTCGACGAGTGCTTTCGGCAAGATCTGGGACCGCGCTCGGGGAGCTCACCTTCAACTCCAAGCCCATCATCACCAACCTCACCATCATCGCTGGCGAGAACCTCCAGGCTGATGCAGGGATGGGGATCCCCGCGGGGATTAAATCCCCGAGCGGGGACGAGGATGGGAAAGAAGTGCTCCCCGTGAGCCTTCACGGGGACGGGAATGGGGGAAATTTGCCCCTGCGAGGATGGGGATGGGGCAATAACCCCCAACGGGGAATTCCCCGTTGACATTTCGACCCCCAACAAATGTGTATGTTCTTCATTTGTATATATCATTAGTTCTCACCGATGACTACAAACTATATGGAAACAAGCTTTCTCAATCAATTGTAGACTGTTTTTTTCTCAAATACTCCGTCCGTTCTAAATTATAAGACGTTTTGCCTTTTCTAAATATATTGCTTTTACTATATATCTAAACATATTGTACAACAAAATCTATGTATCTAAAAAAGTCAAAACATCTTATAATTTAAAACAAAGGGAGTACATCTCTTGATTGTCTAATGCTAAGTATCTAAATAAATAAAACAAATATGATGAGAGTTGTTGAATGAACAATAATTTTTTTTATCTTCGATTTAGACATTTCGTATTTTTCCAAAACGAAGAGGTTAAAGATGATTTATTTTAGTGTTTTTATAAGCCGACATAAAGATCTGGTGTGTGTGTGTTTGACACTCGATGAGCTGGCCCCTCTATATGTAAATTCTGGCTCCACCTCGCCCTGAATGGGCTGATAAACAGTGTAGAGCCGGAATGTGAACAGTAATACATGAACAGTGACAAAAAGGGCAGACTCCAGTGCCGAAGGCTCCTACATGAGTGGGGTCGAGGAAGGGAAAAACCGAGGCAAGCCTTTCCCCCGCAAAATCTACAGAGAGGCTACTTCAAACCCATGACCTGGTGACTCAGTGAGACAGCTCTCACCACTGCACCTGTTCTGCCCTTCAATCCATGAGCAGTGACGGTGATAAGTAATTAAGTACTCCCTCCGTGCCCAAAAGAATACAATTCTGGAACAGTGTCACGTATTAGTATATCAACTTTAACCAATTATACATAAAAAGTATAAATATTCATAATATTAAATAAATATCATTAGATTAATTATATAGTGTGTTTTTATAATAAATTGATTTGGAGTCATAAATATGAATACTATTTATTATAAACTTTGTCAAACATGAACCACTTTACGTGGCACGCAATCCATAGTTGTATTCTTTCACGGACGGCCTGTTCGCTTGCTCGTAAACGATCGTAAATTTCCAGCCGGGAACAGTGTTTTTCTCTCACACCAAACCAGCCAGCAGTAAATAATCCACGATACGATACGGCCTCCCGAACAGGCTGAGAGTTAGTAGCAATCCTGTGAAGAGTAGTGAATAGTGAACGGTAGGCGCCAACAGTAGCACTCTTGTAAACAGCCATCGTAAACATTAAGTGAACAGTGGATGTGCCCAACGATACATCCAAACCAATCGAACCAGGCTCCTCATACGAAGATATTAGCAGTGTATTCAGAAAATCAATTTTTATACGGGTAGAACATATATTACGGGTGGATCATCAACGAGGTGGCAGCAAGTTTACTCAATTATTTATTACTATCTAAAATTGTCGCCACGATGGCGAGGACAAATTTGTGGTCATTCAATGCAGATTGTTTGGGTTAGAGTTGGGGGTAAAAATTGTACGGCTCAAGTCTATATTTTTTCCCTGAGTTCTCCAGTTTCCAACATGGCTATGAAATACGTGAACCCCACGTTTCTGTCTGTCTAACTAATCTTCTCCACTCCACATGTTCCCATCGAAAGAGTTCAAACCATTTTCCTCAAAAAAAAGAAAGAAAGAGTTCAAACCATTTCATACGGGCGTACCGCATACGGTACATCTAGTTGGAGAACGGATTGCCATCTCGGGAAATGACATCCACTCGAACCATTCCGTACGCCATGTGCATCAGTGCAAGTTCATACTAATGTAGCAAGCAGGGAAAGGCCACTATATAATCCCATGCACAACTAATCTCAAAACCATCAAGCAAAGCAGAGCGCAAGAAACGCAAAAAAAAAAAATAGAGAGAGAAGACGCTCGAGCATTTCTTCAGGCAAGAAAAGATGGCCTCTGCGGGAGCTGTAGCCGCCATGGCGATGTTCCTCCTAGTGGCGCTCTCTGCCTCTCACATGGCATCCTCCCTCCGCCCCGGCGCCAGCCTCGGCACGTGCCGCGCTAGCGGGTACCTCCCAGGCCGCTCCGGCAACTGCGAGAAGAGCAACGACCCAGACTGTTGTGAGGATGGAAAGAAGTATCCACAGTACCACTGCTCGCCGCCAGTGACGGCGAGCACCAAGGCCGTGCTGACGCTCAACAGCTTCGAGAAGGGCAAGGACGGCGGCGGCCCATCGGAGTGCGACAACGCGTACCACAGCGACGAGGAGAAGGTGGTGGCGCTCTCCACGGGGTGGTTCAGCAACATGGCGCGTTGTGGGCACCGCATCAAGATTAGCGCCAACGGCAACTCTGTGTATGCGAAGGTGGTGGACGAGTGCGACTCTGTGCACGGCTGTGACGACGAGCACAACTTTGAGCCGCCGTGCGACAACAACATCGTTGACGCCTCGCCGGCGGTGTGGGACGCCCTAGGACTCGACCAGAACCTCGGGATGGTGGATATCACCTGGTCCGAGTGAGGCATGTGATGGCTGCATTTGCTCCATCTGTTGGAACTTGGTACGTGCCGGGAACATACATATGATTAGAGGATACAGCTCGTGGGCTTATTGCCATCACTAGTGTACTGTGTGCAGGACATGTCGTTGCTACATATAGATATATGTCATTATTGAATATTGAATAAATACTGCATGAAGTAATGAAAGGCTGTGTTATCTAAATGCATACAGAGCTAGCAATGCGCTTCACACCAGCATTACACACCAGTAATTTCTTCATTTTTCATGAATAAATATCACAGAGCAGATGCCAAAGGGCAGCTGAACCCCACACAAGTTCATGGGATTACCACAGTAAGCTCACAGAGCAGATGGTGCGAATTTAAGTTTGATTGAAATTTCAGCATTGAGCAGGTCAACAAAAACACAGATTTGAAGTCGAATCAAACATGAGCGATGCAGATGCTTCAATGATGGTAATTAGCTAATGTGGGTTTCATTAGTGGTACATACATATAGAGAATTTCTTCAGCTTGAACCAATCGCAGCTATCTCATACAGGTTCTACAAGCCTAGCCCGAACTGAATTCTGATCTGTTATAGGTTCGATGCTGCCATTTTAAAGAAAATATGTCAGTATTCTGCTGAAAAACTTTAAACAGAAAAAATAAAGAGGGATGCTGTCTAGTAATACCAAATAAAACTTACCTATAAAGTATTTCTCCTCCATTTATCACCTTCTTTGATATCAAAGCAGGAGCCAGATCCTCTAAAATATGCAGCTGTTCTTCTATCTCCCCTATTAGTAAAAAAGACGATACGATCAGCATAGCTCAGGAAACATCAAGTATAATTTGGAAGGTACACGGATCAAGTGATCCTCATTACCAATCTCTTCTATCTCCAAGTTGTTGGCAAGAATATTGTGGAAAAGTTCCTGTTTCGTGATAAGTGAATTCTTGGTAGAACGAGAAATATCGCAGACTATGTCAAATGTGGTATGTAGCGAAGCCATCCTTTCCTGAGTATCCACTAAGTCTACTTCATTGATTTTGTCTTTATCAGTAAAGAAGACAGGACTATCTTCCTGCAAGGAAAAGGTTCATTTGGTCAGGAAATAACCAACAGGCAAATGAACTGGAACAACCTTGGAATTGTAAGTCTTCCAACTATTATTACAGGCTACAGCAAAAGAAAATAACAGAGCAGGAAGCAAGACATCTATTAGTCATACACCATGTCATACATAGAAAACCAAGAGTACATTCTTTGTTTTATAATGCATTTGAGCATTTCTACAGACAACAAAAGAGAAATGGTCATTCTGTCGAACAAACTTATCACTGCGCCTCAGGGTATAAAATTCCAAGTTTATTGGTAAGTTGCTCTGGTTATTAGTAGTCTGATGGCTGGCTTTTTTCCAAAGCATCAACAACTGCAGTGCTACCATTCTAGGAATTATTGAACAGTCATATATACCTATTCCCTGAATATTGTTAGATGAAGGTAGTTACTAGTTAGTTAAGAAATCTAGTTGACATAACCCACATTAACGTTGTTAAGATACAGAATTAAATGCAGAAAGAGCTGTCCATAGTTATTCCTGCAAACTGGGTTTTCAAAGAAATCAGAATCCAAGCACAAGCATTTGTTACTAGTTTATGTTATTGACTATAGCATCTGTGATCTTCTAGCATGCAATTATGTGCTATACAAACAGATAACAATTTTATGTGACGGATGGGAATCAGATACCTCAAATGACTTGTTAAAACTCGATGAGTCTTCTGAGATTATGCCCTTTTCAGCTGTAGTCGTATGTTCCATTCCATCATAATAAGAAGGGCTTCCTCCTTCAAATTTTAACGATGTATTTAGTGATCTGCAGGCAGAACTGGCTGAACGTGGTTCACTAATGTGTCCACATGTGACCTTGGGTTTCTCAAGTGGAGTCGGCAATGGCCTTTTTGGAGTCTGTATTGCAGGTGTTCCGGACAACAACGGTGACTCTGAGGTCCCTTGTTTTGGTGTACTCTCTTGACAACAAGAGATCAAATGGCGGCTTGGAGTAGCAGAAATTTCAGAGTTCACTGGAACTGGAGCATGTTCATCTTGCTTTTTAGGGTTTCTGTCTGACCCTTCTGTATCATAAGCACTCACAGAGCTCAGCTCTGCTGGATCAGATAGCAATTGAGTCTTTTCAGTTCCATCAGCAATGATTTTCTGCGACATGAGTTTTTGAAAAGATTGTGGGAAGTGGGAAGCATTTGAGAGTTCCTCGTCAGCGGCACCCTGCATAGGTGGCTCAGCAGCATGCCCATTATGTACTGCCTCAAGATATAACTTCTCCCTTGGCCTTGAATTAAAGGGTTCCGGTAGGATTGCCTCAGGAATGTCTGCACCCTGCATAAATAACAATTTGCAATGAGAATGCTGAGTGAATCATTAATTTATCATGGCTTGAAGGCTAACATAATCAAAAGTGCATATAGGTCAACCCCTAAAAAAGAACATATAACTATATAGGTTCACTTGAAATGAGAAGACAGAACTTCAGTTGAAATGCTCTTAACAAATTAAAGGAAATATCATACAGTGAACATCTATTAATTAACTGCTACCTGAGCAAGGGCTAATTAAATTAAGTTTAGTACCTTATGATGAGCATCCAAAAATTGCAAAAGCTTTGAGTAAAAAGCCTCGCAAATTGTCATGGATGGAGACTGGTCAGGGCTTGTGCATTCCACAACATCCATTACAAGTGTGATTTCCATATCAGCATACATGCATAGACTCTTCTCATCATGTACTAGTATCCTCTTTATCTGGATTGCCTCTGGGAATAAATGCTTCATCTGGGCCAAATGACCGTATAATAACTTCCTGTAATGCAGAAAGATTATCATCCAACTGCAACAAACAAACAAATAATAATAATCCATATAGATACTTTCATCGTCATTACTACCTTTTTGTGAGTATCTCCACCTGGGTGGCAATATTATTAAATGTAGCCATCTTCTTCCGTAGGTGAAGCAATCTTATAGAACTCTCCATTCTATTGAAAAGATTCAGCAAATCCTTGTGTCTTCCATTGTGAACAAGAAAGACAAGGTGAATAATCATGGCAAGCCAGCACACTTATGCATGAGATATTGAGATGAGAATAAAATGACTCACTTCTCAAGAAGTTCAATGCTTTCTGAAAAAAGAGATCGGCTACCACTAGGCGAAACACTTTCATTATAGTCTTCTTCATCTGTCTCACCCTCATCTTCCACCAGCTGATTTGCAAATCTGTCTCTGTACCTCTCTGCAAGCAAATTCCTGGCCAGTGAACTCACAACAACCCCTTTGCTTCTAGATTCACGTTTTTCTGGAGTGGGTGATTCGATTTCACTTCCACCATCTTCTGTCTCAGCTTTCATCTTGTGCACAGTTGCAGGGCTACTCGAATCAGTATCATTAGACACTTGAGAAAATCCTTTCTCAAGGTCAAGCTGAGTAGTATTCGCCTGACTCATTTTCAGCTCCAAACACTACAATAATGGGACCATAAGTAATATGCTCCAAACTAAATCAAACACAAATCCTGAATGCATAGAAGTACATGGGTGAACTTCATAAAGTAGTACAATACAATGTTATCCAAGAGTAGCAAACATCAACTTATATGGACATATTCATACCCATATCCCCTAGTAATGCCACAAGGTACTTCACAACTATCCAATCACGAATAAATATTAATTACTTCAAAAAAATCTACTTGTGGAAATATACATGAATTAGGGCCAATCTGTGCAGGATAAATCCAGTGTTTTACATACACCAGAATTTAGTTACAAGAGTGTGACAGAATGCGAGGTATCTTAAATTCTTTACCCCACCCCCCTCCCCTACCCAACAAAAACGCTGGACAGAGATATCTGCAATGTCCTATGAACTATGAAGTGCGCTAAAGGAAAACACGGAATTCTAGTTTGCCATCCCGCAAAACTGAATCCAAAAATCGGGTGGAAATAATTAACTAAATAACTGAAAATTTGAGTGAGAACTGGCAACAAATTCCGCAAACCCTAGACGTTACCTCACGACACAGCACAACAGCTGACCAGACAAACCACTGCACCACTCAAACCAGCGCCTGCCGACTAAAGAGGCGAAACAAATGGCCCTCCGGAGAGCGCATGGGACCAGACCCGTGTGGCAATGGGAGTATGGGACACGAAACGAAAGCATCGCATAATTTGCAGAGCACAAGCTAATAGAGGACCAGATCTTGAAAGTATACCTACAGATAGAGCTCGCGGTGCGCTCGGTGTCTCGAATCCGGAGGAGCACGGCGCTTCGACTCAGGATGTCGCCACGGGAGTAGGCCGGCGGCGGCTGTAGTGGAGAGGAGGGAGGGGCCGAGGGGAGGGGAAAAACGAAGCGGAGTACCGCACGGCGAACGGTGCCGCTTCAAAGTGTCGGAGCAAACAAAAGCGAACGCATCGCCCAAGTCGAGCCCAACGGCTATATTTTTCGGCCCTTTTTATACGTCAGCTTCAAACGAGTTGTGGGCCGTTTTGTGTTTCTCACTTTCAGCCCACTTGCCGCGTGCTGCATGAAGGCCGGCCCATTCCGACTCGTAGTTTCTCGAGGCTTTTACATATATGCCATTAAAAAAGTTTGTAATTACACACAAACCATTAAAAAAATTGACGTTCTAAACTTATTTGCTCTCCAAGTCATTCCGTCGGTGGTCTGTTCGTTTTTCACCGTTACATGTGAGCCCGGTCAGTATAAAGGTCCAAAATACCCTTCTCTCGTTCACACCGCTCGCCAGCGCCAGCCTTGGCGTCCATAACGAGGCCGAGGCGAAAGCGAGTTGGCGGTGCACACGTCGGCGCCGAGGCCGAGCTTGATCACGTCCGCGTGTGCGGCGTGGCGTCGCGTAAGCAGCGGCGTCGCGCTGCGGCAAAGATTTGCTGACGCGCAGACGCCGTGGCGTGTGGGCGGGAGGCGGACTCGAGGTGGCGTGGCGTGGACGAACGCCGCTTGAGCGAGGTCGCGACGACGACGGGTCGGCTCCGGCTTAGCGAGGCGGCAAAGGCGCTCGATTGTGTGTGTGGCCGTCGCGGCCCGACAACACAATGGCGGCTGCGAGCAGTTGCTCCGCCATGTGACCACAGGTGCTGCGGCGCGGCGGCGCAGATGGCGCACGACGCGCTCGGGGAGCACTGTGTCGTCGCGCCATGGCGGCCGGAACTTCATGGGGGGCGAGGCCTTGAGGCAGTGGTATTGGAGGTCTTCGGGCCGACGACCATGGCATGGTGGGCGACGTGGCCATGGCATTTGGACTCGTGAAGGTGGGCGCGGCGAGGGGACAAGCGGCGGCTGGAGGTGTCATGGCCGACGGCAGGGACGGCGTCCGCGTCCGTGGCGGCGGGGGGACGGTGCTCGTCGGAGCTTAGCCATCGTCGATCTCGCCCACACCCACGCATGGGAGCGGAGGTGCCGGTCCGACCACCTCCACCGCTGCAGGGGGCGCTGGGAGAGGGAAGCAGTGTGGCGCAGAGAGGTGAAGAGCCCCGGCGAAGTCGAGTTTTCGCCTCGGCTGCTCACAAACCACATGAAGAAGAGAGATCGAGTTTTGAGAGTGAGAGGATAGGGATAAGAGGGGTATTATGGAGCTCGCTTTGACCGGCATGGGCCCATATGGTAGCTTCAGCCTGCCGAGCGTGAAAAGAGAGATCGAGTTTGAGAGTGAGAGGATAGGGATGAGAGAGTATTATGGACGTTCGACGGGTCCATATGTAGCAGTGAAAAACACGGTCAAAATTTTTTTTAAAGCTTATGTATAATTACTGATTTTTTAATGGCGGTCAATTTTTTTAATAGCTTAGCCTCTATGTTTCTCTTCCCCACCACGGCCGAAACCGGATCGCAGCGAAAATGGATGCACGGCAGCTGTGCGCCGCCGACTCCGAGCTGGAGCTGGCGCGGGCGCGGTGCGTCGCGCTGCAGGACCACCTCGCCTCTTCGCCGGACCTGCCACGCCATCCCGCGCTCCGCTCCCTACTCCGCCTCGTCGACGCCGAGCTGCGCTTCCTCTCCTCGCTCCACCCCGCCCCGGCCACGCCGCTCTCCTCCAACCTGCCCCACCTCGCGGCGCTCCACCTCGTCCTCACCCACCCGGCCGTGCGGAGCCCGTCCCGGCTCTCGCCGCTCCCGGGGGTCGACTTCGCCTGCGCCTTCCGTGGCCGGCCCGCGTGGGTGCTTGTCTCCGCGAGCAACCCCGCCAGGCTCGCCTGGGCCCCGCCCGGGGGTCACCGCTCCCGCTTCGCTGCGGCGCTGGACGCCGCGCGCGGTGCCCCGCCCGCTACGCGGCCCGAGAAGCTGCTCCTCGTCTTCTCCCGTGGTGTCGGCGTGGATTTCGCGCGGGGGCTCGCCGAGGGGTTCGAGGCCGTGGAGACTGACTTGCTCGAGGAGTTCATTGGCGACTCCGAGGAGGAAGATGGGGACGGGTGGGTCGCCGTCAGCTTCAACCCGAGTGAGGAGCTCAGGAATTTCAGGGCGTTTGTGATTGATGTCGTGGAGGGTGCTGGCGAGGTTTTGCTGCCACCAGACGCCGCGGTGGCTGAGGGAACTGCTGATGATGAGCCTTTGGGTTTTGAGGGAGCGTTTGGTGCCTTTATGAGGAAGATGTGGAGGGAATCGAGGGAGCTGGTGAATTTGGACACCACGGCGCTGGTTGCTATAGTGTCAGGGATCAGCGATGGTGGGGTAGGGAAGCTGATGGCTACACCTGAGGCGGAGACCAGAGCAAGGTTCAAGTGCAACTACAAGTTCGTCATGGATCAGGTTGCTTGGAAATGTTTGCTTTACAGTCTAGGAGCCAGTCTTTCATCACCCAGTTCTAAATGTTGTTGATTAGTTGTTCACTGCAATCAAGTACACAGATTTAATTGTGTTTCGTTGTGATTTCTGTAAGGAAGCCCACATCAAGTACACAGATTTAATATGTTTGTGCAAAGAGTGAATCTATATTAGAGAACTGTGTACTTAGTAGTTAGTGCTTACAAAAGAATACCATGCAGTAGATCTTCTCTTGAACTATTTCATGCTTGCTGTAGGCACAATCCGAACTGCAATTTCCAATACTCATAGAGTTGGGGAAAGCAGTGGAGGGGAAGCAATGTATCATATGTGAAACTGTCAACTTGGAGTTCAAAGAAATTGTTTCGATGTGTGGTGGAGCCGAGGAGAACATCAGAGCAAGACATTTGTTGAAACAACTCATGTAAGTTCTGTTACATAGCTAATTTGGTTTCTGGAGGTACAGTATTTTGTGCCACTATATAGTAACCCTAGCTTGGAATTTTGAGTGTGATTCTTCTGTTAGCAGCTTTGAATTTTGAGTGCGACTCTTCTGTTACCATATAGTGCTTACAACGTTTAAGACAGAACACATCATCAGGTTTCCTTTTGAGAACTTACACATGATCAAGTTCATTAAGCAGACTTTTGCTCTTTCATTTCCTATCTTTATGTGCATTTCATTTGTTAGGTACTTGTAGTGCCCAAAGGTTGTATGATATTCTTGTTCATCTGATCCTTATACTGAGTGATATATGTAGAATTGTAGATGCACTGAGGTACTTCAAGATTGTTTGTAGCAAGGTACTATATGATTTATCATTTCAACCTTGTATTTTTTGGACATGCCCCCTGAGTGATATATGTAGAATTGTAGATGCACTGAGGTACTCCTCTACTGGCGGCCCAGTATAAGTTTTGTAATGAGCTCAATATAAATTGGTAGAACTGGTACTGTCATCTGTGTAGTTACAATGTATTCTAAATTGGCAGATAATTGAAACTGCTTTTGCTTCTAGTAACACTGAGTGAAACATGCTGCATCTGCTAGCTAGCTGTTTGGCCTGCCCTCTTCATCTGCACAAATATTTGTTCTCCGACCTAGCTAATATATAGTAATATTTTCCTGTTCATACAAATTGCTATCATATCCCAGAGGTACTACACCCGTGGTAGACTAGGAACTTTCTAATTTTCCACAAGTCACTGTTTATCATACCCAGTGTGTGTCGGGGCTTGCTAATGACCTTGAATTCGTTTTTTTTTAAAAACCACGCAAGTACGCAACCAGTATCTTACAGAGTATTTACCAACACTTTTTGGGCTACAGCATTGTCCCAGACAGTCCTTCAGCTCGAATGATGGATCTTCCAACCACAAGGAAGCTCGCGATGAAGAACAAAATTGTTTTTGGCACAGGTGACCATTGGCGAGCTCCTACTTTGACTGCTAACATGGGGTTTGTAAGAGCTGTTTCACAGTCTGGTATGCCCTTGCTAACCATCGAGCACCAACCTCGGGCATTGATTGGTCTGTGACAGTGAGTATGCCATAACTAATTTATAGGTGTTTGAGATCCTAGAGTTGTAATTCTGCCCCTTCTGAACATGAAACTATCTGAAGTTCTGGCAATTTTAGTCGTTCTACGCCTAGAACCGGCTGCGACCGCTGCTGCTGCTTGTGGTACAGTTTCCTGCTGAAACTGTTTGCAGCCACAGCCCGCCACCACAGCAGTTGTGCAGTTCAGCCGAACTCGCTGAATGGTGAGGTGATGTCCTTAGTTTACTCTAGTGTCTAGTCCTGCTAGCTTTGTCCACAACTGTGTATCTGGTCCAGATACACTGGAGTTTATTCGAGCGACAATGGTTACTATCTGTACTTAGTATCCTTGACGTCAAAGTCAAGCATAGAATATGTGTGAGTAGGCCTCGTTCGGCTGGTCTCAAACTTGGCTTGATCGGCTTTTTTTTCAGCTTTAGGAATAGTATTTTTCTCTCACAACATTTAAGCCAGAATAGTGTGTTTTCAGCTAATTTCAGATCAGCGAACAAGCCAAGTTTGTTTTAAGTCTTCAGCATAGCTATGTACAGTGAGAGAAGAAGTGCAGTATAAAATAATAATGCACTATGGATGAATGCATGAGCATGACACATTTGGAATGGCTCGTTGACAGCGTGAAGTGTTGCACCTGATGATGCATACTGAATTGCTGTATCTTGTGCCATTAGCTAGTCGTACGAGATTATTTCAACTCACTGGACATTTTTTTATCACGAAAAAACAAACTACACGATTAATCATCCCAATTTGTATATCACGAAAAAACAAAATACACGATTAATCATCCTTCAGTCTGGAGTGATGTACACGAAAATACGTAATGACTGCTATGCTGCGTCAACCTTGGCCTTGGCTGGCTGCCCTTACCATTTCAACAATAGCATGTAGCTGTCATTACGGTTTGAGCGATAGTACATCCATCTAGCAAGAAAAGAATTATTATTGATGAGTATAAGAAATCCTTACATTTTCAAAGAAAATGAGATGAGATTGAGAACATATGACGCTATTATGAGAAATTGACGATTCTCGTACAGATGAACATGGATTATATTTCCATCCACACCAACACTAGGGCATAACTTGATAGTTATTTCCAACCCTGAGCTATTAGCTGTTAAATTGTACAGACATTGAATAGTTTTTACTGAAACCACCCAGGGTAGCGCTCAAAATCTAGAATCCTCCTCTGAAGCCCATCCACAAAGTCGTGTTCAGAAAAAGGAGGGAAACAAACTAGTAGGATTTTCCACAGTGAATCAAGCTCCCAGCCCCCAAGAAAAGACCAAAAATTGCAGCGCTGCCAACAGTAGTTTGTCCAATGTATCTGATCTTTAGCAATCCAGGGATCTGTGCAACAGAATATCAAATTGATTAGCATTCATGATAACCCCCAAAAACAACTCAAACTTTTATTTCAGATAGTTATCTCTTGACAGTTAAATAAACAATATGCCATGAGTTCAATAAAGTAAATCTTAGCTAAGGTTAACGAAGTGCAGAATCAAGTGTCAAGACCTAATCAATTTGAATCCTTTGCATATTGAAGGACAGGGTAATCAATTTATTTCCTAGTACGCATCAGTATCCAAAAGTTTATGAAAGAATGACACAAAACCAAATATTGAAAGGGAAATCACATAGAAGCCCTACCATAATGTGGTTTTGTGTATAATAAAGCAAATAGTATATGCGTACCTTGTATCTGAATGCCTCAAAAGTTCCATAGCAAGCACCTGCGGAGGAAGAAGGAAAAACATGCCAATTAGTAACTTGGTACTCTTATGCTATGGCAGCAGAAAGGAAACATATACCATTTATTTCCAAGAGCACTTTGAGAACTACCACTCCCTCCGGTCAGATGAAATTTAGGACAGAAAAAGTTACACTGCATGTAGGCTAATTAGGCTGCCTTAAACATCTTCTAATGAGCGTTGGGAATATAAGCAACTTTATTAGATCTACATCTTGAAAGCAACAATTGCATAATAGTTATTGCACGAAAGAAGCAAGCCAAGCATGTTAGGTACATCCTTGAAGCACTGGTCAACACAAACCCCATAAAAATAATAAAAGTCCACAGGCACGTCTTTTCTGCCTTATTACAAAACCCAAAAGTAATGATTATCAAGGTAAGAAAGCCAGAGACTGGTAGCCTAATACATGACCATATCCACCCCTTCAAGTCCTTGTGATCGGAATTCTCTCCACGAGCTAAATACAAAACCACCAAGTGGAATGATAACTTTTTGACAGCAAATACCAGTAACTTGACATACAGACAATTCCATATGCTGTCATCTTTCCGTTACAATGGAGTCCAAATAAGGAAACTAAACCAAAATTCGAATATACTAATTGGTACATTCCAAAGTGGCATTGAACAAGCTTTTGATCTTACATTTTTCATCCCAAGTCCTACCCACCACCAGCAAATTAACCAAACCACGGCACACCAAATCAGCAACAGCCCTTAAAGCACAAGCAATTGGACAAACAAACTCAACTAGAGCATCGATATATTACATCTCCTGAAGATGCTACCTAAGCACGAACTCTTAACAAAAGCCACCTTTTTATTATATCTGCGGCCGCCAGCTAACCAGACAAACCAAGGATCTGTAGTAGCTAGCTCGAGAAGATCCCTGAAATCACACACTAATCTACTTCAACAAACATACCCACGGGCGAAGCAGCTCGCACGGATGGATGCTGCAAGTCTAGGGTTTAGGGGTTTAGGGAGGAAGGTTACCGACGGCTCCGCCGACTGCGCCACCGATGGCAACTCCGGCACCCACGCGCGCCAGGCAGCTGTCACTTCTCGCCATCACCTCTTCTGATCCTGTTGCACTTGTAATTAGATCGGATCCGAGTAGAAATAGCCAAATAGCTTAAGTTAGGGTCATTGGGTCCTTGGTTTCGCACAGAAGTAAGGGAAGAGAGGGTGGGGATACCTGGTGGGAGCTCGTCGCCGGCGAAGTGCCCGACGAAGTCTGGCGGCGGCGGCGGTAGCCCCAGTCGTCGCCGAGAGAGAGGGCGCACTAGCCACTAGGGGTGGACGGGAGAAGAAAAGCAGTTGGTAGATTCCTCACCTGGTTTTAGTGAAAGGGGCCGACTAATTCCCTGATGGGCCTCGACGGGCCTTTAAGCCGGACCGAGAGTCCGAGATTGGCAACGCCTTTGAGACCATGCACAGCACGTCATCAAGCCCAGGGCCCGAACAGGTTTCGTCCAGGCTTTTAGAAAGGGAAAAAGTAGTTTGATTTTTTTTCCTTGAACTTCAAACTAGAAATGTTACCCTTTCAACTTTTAAGACCGTTCGATCCTAGTTTAAAATGGTTTTGAGGGTGTTTTTATCTTTTCAGAAAACAATAAAAACTTGATAAAGTTTTTAAATCACAGAAAATATCTGCATGCTTTTAAAAACCAAAAAAAATAGAGATATATTGGGATACAAAAACTCCCAATAAAATATGTAGAGCTCATGAAAATATCTCTAGATACTTAGAAAATAAATTTAGCTGGAAAATAGGGAAAATTATCCATAAAAACTAGAAATTTCCAAAAACATTCTAAGTGGTGTATAAACTTGTTTTAATGATAAACCACTCCACTTCAAAATGTCTGGTTTTGAAGTCTGGGGAGGAAACTCAGACTACGACAATAGTTTAGGGAGGCAGAAAGTAGAATGGACTTTTTCTTTTACAAAGCAACCTCCCTCTTTGCTTCCCACAGTATCATCAGCCTATTTCAACCCTCGACTCCAGGGCTCTTGTCATGCTAGCCTCAAAAGAACTAATAATAACCAGTTTCTTACATTGTTCTACTCCTAAAGAGGATGTGGCATGCGTAGATTAAGGCCCTATTCGCTTGAACTTATCAGTCGTACCTTTTCAGTAAAATAACAATGTTTTTCTCTTACAACAAATCAGCATCAGCATCAGCCGTTTTTCCAGCCAGCCGAATAGAGCCTTTGCTTTTCTGCATGATAACCTTGCAAAAATGATAGTGCTGATGGTCATATAGCTAATTATTAGTATGAATATGGTCCACTTGTTAACAGGTGCTTGTATAAGTGGTTGAAGGTGCAAATAAATGAACCATTAGTGCTTGTTAGCGTCCTTCACTTAGCTAATGGACGAGTAGTTATTAGCAGCCCTAGTACAAGGTGTTGTCTAAACCTTCACTTACTAATAATTTAGCTATTAACTGTCAACATTACTAGATTTTAACAGACGCTAAGGTCCAAGGGCCTAACTAAAAAGCCGCATCCTCTCCTCACGGAGTTGGTTCATGTGGGCAGGCGTCATCCATTGTTCACTTGCTTCTGAACCCACAAAATTCATGTTGAGTGATGAAATATCTACATCATCTTTGTATATATCAATCTATGTTGATCAATTTTCACATTATTGATGTGGGTTGTTTTTGGATATCAGTTTATGTGACGTGTGCCGAGATACTACAACTAGTTTATTAATAGTTTTGATATAATATGCCATGGTGTGTGTAAGAGTCCAGATAACCTATGTGTGTTCTGTGTATGGATATGTTTAGATACAAGGGCTAATTGCTAGCTAGTAAACAATTAGTTAATTTTTTTCTAAGTACATCCAAAGAGGAGGGTTAGTTTTTATTCAAGCCTTCAACTAGCTATTAGCTAACTAGCTAGACAACTTCATATTGAGTATTTGAGTTAAGACCTATTTGATACACATGGCTAGTTACTAAGTTGGCTAACAACTGGCTCAAGACTTGGCTAAAAAATTAGCCGACATATTAGCTCTTTTATTTGGATGCACCATATCTAATTTTGACAAATTTTAGCTAGCTAGCAATAAGCCCCGGTATCTAAATTGACTATTGACTATTATTTTTTAGTTCCAATTAGTAATCAAGCATGTGCTATAAAAATAGAACACGTATGTAATGAAGTATGGTTCCCTGACGTACACGTAGCCGTGCGCGTTTGTGTTGTTTGGGCGCGCTGTTGACGTACAAGACGGCCGTTTTGTACGATGATGAGTAACGGGGGTTGGCATGTATTTGTATTTACATCAAGTGACAATTACAGAAAGAATCACAAGATTACAATCACATTACAATTGATTGATCAGCTACTAATAAATATGTAACAATCACAAATCAGGAATATCAGGCTATTGCCAGATATGCTACAATTACAGCTACTTAACACGTTTCTACCGGCGGTGAAAACGACACCCCCGTCTGGCCGTCTCTCCGGTCTCTCCACCCGGCATCCTCCGCTCTGCCACACAGGCCCCAGCCATGGAGGCGGCCCCTACCCACGAGGCGGCGCCGCACGTGCTTGTCATCCCCTTCCCCGCGCAGGGCCACGCGCTGCCGCTCCTCGACTTCGTCGCCCTCCTGGCGTCGCGCGGCCTCCGCCTCACCGTGGTCACGACCCCGGCAAACCTCCAGCTCCTCTCCCCTCTCCTCGCCGCGCACCCCCACCGCCGTCCGCGCCGCCACCTTCCCGTTCCCCTCCCACCCGTGTCTGCCCCCGGGGCTCGAGAACACCAAGGGCTGCAGCCCGGGGCACTTCCCCGCCTTCGTCCATGCCTTGGCCGAGCTGCGCAGGCCCATCCTCGCGTGGGTTAAAGCGCAGCACGACCCCGTCGTCGCCGTCGTCGCTGACTTCTTCTGCGGATGGGCTCAGCCGCTGGCTCGCGAGATCGGCGCCGCGGGGATCGTGTTCTCGCCGTCCGGCGTCCTCGGCACCGCCGTCCCGCACTCGACCTTCCCCCGCCTGGTGAGGCGCCCCGCGGAGTGCGACGACGACGACGAGTTCAGCGTCTCGTTCCCGGCGATTCCCGGCGAGCCGTCGTTCCAGTGGCGTGAACTCTTGATGATGTACAGGAAGTACATGGCAGGCGCTCTGGACGAGCAGGTCGCCGCGTCCGTGAGGCTGAACTTCCTGTGGAACCTGAACGACAGCTGGGGTTTCGTGTTCAACTCGTTCAGGGCGCTGGAGGGGAGGTACCTGGAGCAGCCGCTCGAGGACCTGGGCTTCAGGCGCGTCTGGGAGGTGGGCCCCGTGGCTCCGGAGGCGGACGCCGCGGGTGCCCGCGGCGGGCAGGCAGCCGTCGGGCTCGCCGAACTCAGCGCGTGGCTGGACGTCAGGGCCCGCGCCAAGGCGCTCGCGGCGGAGGCCGCCCGTGCAGTGAGGCCAGGCGGGAGCTCGTACGCTGATCTAGATCTGTTGGCGCAGGAAATCCGGAAGCTAGCTAGCTCACTTCAGGTTCAGGACTAAATTCAGAAGTAAAGCAATCATCTTCATCTGATAAAGCAGATACTTTCAGATTCGGTTGTCTTCCCCGTTGTTGTGAGGAGTACTACTGTACTGATGAGGGCATCAGGGAGCTGAACTTCGCTGTAGCTTGAACTTGATTCTATCTCTAGAACGATTTAGAGGCATCAGTAACCTCTGCTTTGTGTGCTTTCCCATGTGTGCACACGAATAATTGGCTTCTGTTTCGCGCCCACAGTTCTGCTCTATCTGTATGTTTGCAGGAGCTGAGCAGCTAATGGCGCATGCTGAACTCCCATCTACTGCTTGTCCTGCGCAGTACAGAGCGGCACAATCAGCTCTTTAAGCTGCACCTCGCGTACGCAGGAAGCACCCAAACTGGCATCTTCTGATGTAGCTCATAAGTTACTCTGAGGTTAGTTCGACAGTGTCGTTGCCCTTTCAACAGATGCCACATTGCCACTGTACAGGACTGCAACCTCAAGCATTACACACATTGTTTTCAGCTCGATTCCCATGCGATCTAACTTCATTATACTTCATTACACTGAAAGTTCATTCAAGAAGGGCAAGTGTCATGCTCACCAAATCATTTGAACGCGACCTACTCAACTACTCTCCCCAGAATCCAGATGCCTACTGGGCTGGCTCTGTGAAGCTGCAAGCCTGCCAATTTGACGGATCATCTGATGAGGAAAATTAGCGAGGCAGCAACCCATGTACCCCTGCCGGCTTTCCGGGCCGAGCTGGAGGAGGAGGAGGAATCTTTGCGTCCCCCCCTGCTTTTAAGCGTCTGCTCCTGCATCAGCGTCGATCAGGACCTTCCAATCACTAGTTGTACCCAGTACCCCTTTTCTCCCCATTGTTTCAACCCCAAGCAAAGCCAAGAACCTTCCTGGGCTTCCTCTGCTGAAAACTCGGTTCCTCTGCAAAAACACGTTTCGCCGCTCCGCTGGAGCCGAGTTGTGAACCATCAGCCTGTTCGGTTGGCTGGTTCGTATCGTTGCTGGTTCGTGAAGAAGTACTGCTGGCTGGTTTATGTGAGAGAAAAATACTGTTTTGGCTGGAAATTTACGATCGTTTACGACAAGCCACAGCCAAACGAACAGGCTGCATGTGGGCGAATTTGCTGGAAGCACGGGTCATTAGGTCATCTGAGGGCTGGCAGCTAAACTACTCATGTATCTTGCACTAGAATCAATTTACTGTCTTAATCTGGAAGTGTTAGATGCTGCAGAAGTAAACTACTGCTCAAGTTAAGTTACTCCCACCACTTTTACCACTGTTTCCTGACCGACAAAATCTGTTATGCAGGCTGATGTCTGATAAGCCTCTCAAAGTCAATGTATTTATTGTCGAATGGTCCAATCCATGCAACATGATCCCAACAGAAATGAAATGCCCAGGGAAAGAGGAACATGTAACGTCAAACGAAAGCTTAGGTCTTCTTGCCTAATGTTAGGGGCAGGGCCATGTCTCTGCATAGCTGGAGATTTGGCCTGAGCCACCCATTAAGGCCGCGTTTAGATGCCAAAATTTTTTTGGTTTTGGTTACTGTAGCATGTTTGTTTGTATTTGGCAATTAGTGTCTAATTATAGATTAATTAGGTTCGAAAGTTTCGTCTCGCGATTTCTCATCCAACTGTGTAATTAGTTTTTTTTCGTCTATATTTAGTACTCCATGCATATACCGTAAGATTCGATGTGACGGATACTGCGCAAAAAATTTTTGGAATCTAAACAGCCCCTAAGTCAAAGAAGTTGGTTATGGGCTCAGTGGGGGTGTACTACAACCTCATATGATTGCTGTCGTCTATTGTTTTGCTGTTGGATAGTCCAAAAACAAATTATAGTGCGGTTTTCATAGTGGAGATAAAGTTTGATGTGCCCTATGACTAGACTAAAAATGTAGTTATTATCTGCCTCTAATTGTGCACAAATTAATGCGAAAACAACTGATTTGAAAACTAAAACATGTTTTAGTTTTGTCCTAAATTAAAATTCTCTAACTTTGACTAAGTTCATACAAAGATATATTTATATGTACAAACCAAAACAAATAAATTATTAACTAAGACATGTTTCATGGTGGATTTAATGAAACAAATTTAATGTTGGCACACTTTTCTATAAAACTTGATAAAGTTAAAGAAATTTGACTTAGGAAAAAAAACTAAAACAACTTATATTTTGGAACAGATAAAGCAGCTCTAATTGCTGCCACTTATAAGAGTTGCTGCAGCATGAGTTCAAACAACTAAAGTGGGTTCTGTAATCCAACCAACTTTATAATTTTTACCTCACATTTTGTTATTGAATTGATGGACCACACCACCACCACCACCACCAATACTTCATAATTATAGGAAATCTATCAAAAGTGTAGGACTTAAGAGTCACAAATTACAGTGAGTGCAGTAGTAGATGCATTTCGTGACAATCTGCACAGCAAACCTTTCAGAATTCAGAAGTGTAGGGGGACACAAATCACAAGCACTGAATTTGAGCTCTCCCTTGCAATCAACAGATATTAGCATTGCTGATTTCTCTAGTCTTACAAGCGAAGCATATTATCATTATATTCGATAGAGTGGCTTCAGCATCACTTGATAATGAGCTACTGAGATTCTCCCATTTCTTGGTACGTCTAATTAAACTAGCAGTTTCCGTTTTTAGTCCAGCCTCGCGATTTTGGGAAACGTACCAATATGGAGGATTGAAGCTTAAGCATGCATCACCCTAACCTTTTCTTACAAAACCTACATCAAAATCACATCGCAAAAGCTGAAGATTACGTGATTATTGAACAAGACACCAGGAAAAAATTGCAACCCCCCACTCATGGAATCTGAACCCAAAGGGTCCTTTTTTTAGGACAAATACAAAAGTACGTGTCCTGTTTAGCAATGTGCCAAAATGCATAATTGTCCACCCAAACAAACATGCATCGCCCACCCCGTTTCTTCTCCTACTAAGTGCCACCGTATTCTTCTGTAGCTTGCACACACCGCCACAGTTTCAGACATGTGCAAGCTCAATCAGAGCATGTGATCGGTACAGAGCAATAGTTAATGGTAGTTAGCGAGCATTGGCAGCTCGTTTCCTGGATGCAGAGACCGGGGAAAAGGAAGGAGAGCAAACAACCGCCTTTCTGCCGGAGAAACAACACGCTCCCCATGATGACTCCATCGACCTTCTCCCGCTGCTTGCCTGTCGGCTCCTACCGCCTGCGCCCGGCGGATCTATAGTTTTTACTCCTACCATACCTGCTGACTGCTGTTGCTTTTCTTATTCACTTGGCCCTTGTTGCTGTCGCAGTAAGTGTAACTACACAACAAAAGAATTCCCAGCTTTGCACTGGACATAACCTCTGAGCCCCCTGTTTTGCCCTGTTTCCCTTGAGCTGGAAGCGTTGCCATCTGCTGGCATGGCACGGACGGCGTTTAGCGTAAGCGAGGGCGCTCCAACAACTGCTCCCTCCAACCAGTGGTGCCTAAAGAAGGCCATGAGGATTAGTTAATAATGCTTAAAAGCATGGAGATGAGCAGCAGAAGAAGGGAAAGAGATGAGGGTCCGGGAGACTCCACCTAATTGCAATTGCAACCCAGACGTCGCTTTTTCCGTCAGCGAATGAATGATTAATTCCACGAGCTAGTTAGCTAGCTGTTAACAAGTGATTATGATGACCACTTGAGCATATGGCACCTTAAACAATTGGAAAGACTGTGGAAAGGGGGAGGGGGGAAAATAGTGAGTGACACATGCTGTTCATGTGGTCGTACTATGAATTATATTTGTAACGAGTGACACTTGTGTTATATGTTCACGTTTCACCGAACGGTCAGTACGTCAGGCTAGCAAGAACCAATGTTCAGACTTGTTCGCAGAAAAGAACTGACCAAACCTCGGAATAAAAGTATGTTATAGTCCATTTGTAAACTGACTCAGTCGATGGGAGAGGAGAGAGAAAAAATAAGACACTGTAATGCAACTGAACTGTAAGAAAAATGCTGGGTCTGCTGGTCTACTCCTACCCCGAATTGTTTGTTGCACGGACTGCAGGACTGGTAGTTCAGATGCAGTACTCACCAACGAAATCCTCTTGGGCGGCCGGTGAGCGTCGCAACAAGACGCGTGCGTAGGTATTGCAAGCAAGGAAGGAGAACGTATCCATTTCAAAGACCGGAACCAGCTTATGACGACATGTGCAATTGGCACTTTTGCTGGCTAGGTGATGACCATTCTTGATCCAGACATTCAGCTCTGCTCTGCTCTGTCCTGTCCATTTGTATGCCAAAAACTTGGCTTTTGTCTGTATCCAGAGTGGTAGAACGTTGACAAATGGCAATCGATCTGAGCTCTTGATAACTGCAGCGAGCCCAGCTGGATCTGCGCCGTACTGATCGAGTATTACTACTGAGTTTCTTCGAGTAAGCTCAGAGGTCGTTTGCACAGTGTTTCTTCGCTCATTACTGTCTTGCGCTGCCCGGTTCCGGCTGTTTCTCGCCAGAGATACACTCGTTGAGTACAGTACAATTGGTTCTGACTTCTGAATGAATGGAGCGGCAGTTTTCCTGCCATATCTGTCTCCGAGAAAGGAGATCTCGACCCCGTCTGCAACTGCAACTTGCCCATTCCAGTTATCGGACAGAGGATCTGGCAGACAGTTTCCTGATGCAAAGAAAGGAGGATAGAAAAATGGCAAAAGCATCCAAGCCTGAAGAGGGGTAGTGCAAAAGGATAGCAAATTCTATTCCTGGAAACTAACGATGCATGGTACGTAAATGACAGGGAGAACATGGTACAGTTGCTACATTTATACTCCAAACAGCGTTCTTTTAAGATCCAGCATTGGTGTGGATCCGGCAGCATTGGTGTGGATCCGGCAAAGCATTACACTCTGCATGGGCTCGCACGTGAATACCATCACCAGTAAAATCCAAGGCAAACGACAATGAAACCCTGCAGCAGTTTAAAAGGCTAAAGGCCGCTGATAGCGCAACATGGCAGCACAAGCTTCACTCCTTACAAATCAAGCTCAAACTATGGATACGTTTGGAGCAAGTAAAGCTAATCCAGAGCTAAAAATTAGCTACTCTATCTATATTCTTCAGTAAGGTGTATTAGGTTTTTTTTTAGAATTACACAGTACAACGTAGAAGCCTAGAACACTCATCCACACTCGTCCCTATGAATACACATACGCAAACCCTACCCTATGAACACCTCCGAAGGACTGAGCCGACAAATATTAAGATTCACGAAGTCACCATAGGCAGGTCACTGTCGACGGAGACGTCGCCTACCAATGAAACCATAACGCCGTTAAATTCTGGAATAAATCCAGAAAAATACGAGCACCCATGTCAAATCGAGAACTTAACCCGGATGGACAGGTTTCATCACGAGGAACCCAACCAACTGACATTGAGCACCAGCGTTTCATCATTACTAAGGCAGACCATTCCGAGCTGCAATGCTCATACATGGCTATTGGGGGTGGTGAGTTTAGGCCATGGACAATCGAGCATGCGCATGCATAGTTTCTTGTGGTGGTGAGCCTAAGCTGCGGGCAATCGAACATGCGCTGGGCAGCGGTAGGAGAGCGCTGCATCCGGAGGACAACTAATCCACCACGATGACGTCTTGGTATCTAGGTTAAACACTTTCACGTCTAATGAAAAAATATGGAGGAAGTAGCTAACTATGAGCGGCAGGTGTATGTTTGGATCACAAGCTAAGGGGTGCATACATCTCTATTGATGAACTCTTAGCTCTTAAGACGTCTCTAACAATAGTACAAATAGCTAGCTCATGGCATATATTTTCTTCAGCAAGATTGAGAGAGAACACATGAAAAGCAATTATCTAGCGCTATTCATAAAGAGCTAAGCTCGTATACTTTTAATTCATATGTCTATGCTCACATGGCTTTGTAAGTCAACATGACCAGCTTCTCATCTTTGTCTTGTTGTATACCCTCCATATTCTTTTGTAAAGTACATTTATGTTTTTATATATAGGGCGATTCATCGGTACCGAGAAGAGTTGCACTACTCATATATGTTTGTTTGGGTGGTGAGCCAAGGCGACAACCAATCAAGCATGTGTGTGCATGGTTTTTTAGGTGGTGAATCTAGGCCACCACTAAGAGCAAGGCTAATAATATAGTTTTCTGCGGGCTGTATGTACACGTAGCTCATCTATGAGTCCACTTATATAGTAATTAGTTCACCTAAGATCCATTCGTGTCTCTCACAAAATTTATTGTTCATGTATACAAGCTGGCTGTAAGTTTATAATTTACAACTCACTCATATTCTCTCTCATCTCATTTCTCCTCCACCTCAGAACTCAGCCCACTTAGAGCAAGTTCAATAATAAAGCCAAGTGTTTGGCTATTAGCCAAATTATACAATAGTGGTATCTTAATTGTCTATAAAAAAACTTTTTAATTGCTACATTTACCTATGTCCCAACTTTTTTCCTAATACCCCTTACATTTACTTGATGCCTGGGCCCGTGCCCATCTTGTTGTTTGTATAAGAGCCAAACTCTCATCTCTCTTCACTTCTCTCCTCTACATTAGCATTTGCTTGGCTATAAGAGCACCCGCAAACAGTAAAAGCTAGTTACTAACTCTAAACCAACATCTTCAATAGTGTTTACTTTAGCAACAACTTTTAGTATTATTAGATCCACATAACACTCTCACATAATCTTAGAACGTGTGTAAGAGTCTAACTTTTGATCAAGGGCTAGCTTTTCTCTCTCTTCTATTGAAATATAAAAAAAATGTTTAGAGCTAGCTCAAAAATCGATTGTTGGAGTTGCCCTAAACCCGTTATTGTACTTGCTCTTACAACTCTTTACACTTAATCAAGCATGCGCATCGGCCAACGGACCACGGAATCCGGTGGATAATCAATCTACCGTGATAGTAGCTTCTTGGTATATCTGTTAAACCCATGCGCCATGCACACCTAACAAAATAACATGGAGGATAACTAACGTTTCAAAAGGACTACAGGAGATGCTCTTTGTTAGCTAATTGTGATTTGTTAAAACTTAGCTTACCCATTAACCCTAAGGCTCCGTTCGATTTCCAGGGATTCAAGTCCTTGAACCAATCCTACCAGAAATGGTTGTGTAATTTGTATACCCATTTCTTCACCAGGAACTATTCCAGCTGGAAAAAGCCCTAATCGAACGGGCCCTAAATGGATTGGAGTTACTAATCTTTAGCGGTTAAGAATGGACAGTGTTCTGCATATATTCCCAAAAGACGTGAGACGAGAATGCGCCGCCGGTCAGACTGTAAACCTGCGAATCTGCAATCCATCCTCCCGTCGGAAAAGCCGGGAATGGCCGCCATTTCAGGCGTGTCTGGCGCGTCCTCTCATCCTCTGTCCTGGACCGGTCGAATTCATGAATTGCTTTACGCTTTCGCCACGGCCTGCGACTCCTCCACGTACTCGTACTAGGAGTAGTACCCACCTTGCAAATGATGGTGCCCTCCGGTTCGGCCGCGGAGCGTAGGTACGCCGACAACGCGGAAAACGAGACAGATTTATTGCGGGTGCAAGCGGCGCACCGTCGGTCGGTCGGTTCTTGTGTCGCTCCAGACGATCCCAAGAACGCAGCAGGCAGCAGCAGCCACCGCATAGCGCACATTCATCGCAGTACCGGATCACTGCCGCCGCATGTGTCGCCTCATGCCGTCATGCGTTTCAGCTGCTGTGGACTGCAGTGAGCAGTAAAACCACTTTTGTAGCTCAATGGCGTTTTAGGGGTGTCGGGGTGTACCTCCTCAGTTTTAGTCGTTGTCCATCGAATATTTGGACATATATATGGAGTATTAAATATAGACTAATTACAAAACTAATTATATAGTTTGCGACTAAGTTACGAGGACTAATCTTTAAGTTTTAATTTAGGGATTTGACAAGAATGGATAAATATGGTAAAGTGAATGATTGATTTTCTTTAAGACGGGGCGCAGTGCACGAAAGCGTTTTTTTCCTGTCCGCGCAGGATCCAAACACCCCCTTATTCCTCCTCTTTTACCCAAGCTAAACACTCTGAGACTGACAGGAGGGAGGGTTTAAAGAATGGAGGTAAAGTGAATGGCCTTTTCTTTAAGACGGGGCGCAGTGCACGAAAGCGTGTTTTCCTGTCCGCGCACAATGCCTAGTAACGGCCCAAATATTCCGACCCTTTCTGGAGGCCAGGCCAGTGAGTCCGAGGCCACCGTCAGCCACCCAACTCGGGTGTCCTTTTCCCTCCGGGCGCTCCTTCACGCACCAGACCGGCACTGCTCCTCGCCGCGCCACGCGGGCTGGCGCTGCCAATGGCCAAATTCCCAGGGGCCGGAAGGGGCCACCACACCATCCGCCACCAGCCGCTTGCCCTTCCTGGCTTCCTCCCCTGCCGCTGCCGCGCTCCTAATAATTGCATCGCCCCGTGCCCCGCTGCCGTGCTGCAGTAGTCTGTAGCCTATCCTGCCTGCCGCCTGCCACCTCGCTGCTTATATCACCAGCTAGCTCCCCATCACCGCCACCGCCGACTACTGCTGCTGCCACCGCCCGCTGGCTGGCTTTGCGCGTAGGCTGTGACTGACTGCGAGAGCACCGCACGTCCGCACCGGAAGCCGGAGCACGCCCGCGCGCGCGTGAACCGCGGAGCAGAGGCAGGGGGCGCGCGGGATCTTGTCCGCAGGTCGAGGTCGGCATGAAGCTCCCGCTGATTCGGCTACTGTGGCCGGGCCTGGGACCCGCGGCGGGGCCGGCCGACGCGGCGCCGGAGCCGGCCAAGCCGTCGCTGCCGGCCGCGTGGCTGCTGCTGCACGCGCTCTTCTGCGCCACCTCCATGGCCGTCGGCTTCCGCTTCTCCCGCCTTATCGTCTACCTCCTCTTCCTGCCCACCCCGCCCATCAACCCCGCCGCGCACCTCGTCTCGCTCGTGTCCCCGCCCGCCGTCGTGCTCGCGGGGGCCAACGCCACGGCCATGGCCACGATCACCACCACGACGACGACGACGACAACCGTCACCACCACCACCACCCTGGCCGCCGAGATCGGCGCCCACCCGCAGCCGCAGCAGCAGCACCACCACCACGGCCCCGTCTTCGTCGGCCGCCACCCGATCCGCGTTCGCTCCTGGCCCCACCCGGACCCCACCGAGCTCCTCAAGGCGCACCGCATCCTCGCCGCCGTCCAGAACGCGCAGCGCAGCACCAAGCACCGCGGCGCGGGACCCGCCAGGCCCGTCATTGCCGTCACCCCGACCACCACCTCCGCGCTCCAGGTGCCATCGCTGACGTCTCTGGCGCACACCCTCCGCCTCGTCGACGCCCAGCTCGTGTGGATCGTCGTCGAGCCGGGGCACCGCACAGACGCCGTCGCCGCGGTGCTCTCCCACTCCAATCTCGATTTCCTCCACATCACCGGCCCTGGCGACTCCACCGCGAGCCTGCGATTGCACGCCCTCAGGTACGTACCACGCTGTACGCAGGCTCCAACCACAAGATGGGATCTCACGCACGCGCACGCCTCTCAATTCATCGCCTCTCGCTCATTAACTAGCATGATTTCATAATTCAGATCTCCCTCACCACCTCTCCGCTCATTAATTAATAATGCAACAGGGAAATTCGGACGAAGCGGATGGACGGCATCGTGGTGTTCGCCGACGAGAACAGCATCCTCCGCACGGAGCTGTTCGACGAGGCGCAGAAGGTGACCACCGTGGGCGCCTTGCCTGTCGGCATCCTGGGCGAGGACGACGGTACCAGCGAGTCCTTCCTCCAGGCGCCGTCGTGCGACGCGGAGGGTAACCTGGTGGGCTACCGCGTCTCGGAGGAGACCGTGCTGCCGGCGAACCGGAGCGACATGCTGATGTCCAGCAGGCTGGAGTGGGCTGGCTTCGTGGTGAACGCGCGGGCGCTGTGGGAGGACACCAAGGAGCGACCGGTGTGGGTGCGCGATCTCAGCGCCATCGACGATGCCGACGCCCGTGCCGCCAGCCCTCTCGCGCTCGTCACCGACGCCGGCCGCGTCGAGCCGCTCGCCAGCTGCGCCCAGGCGGCTCTCGCGTGGTCTCTGCGTTCCGACAGTCTCCACGACGTCAAATTCCCACACGAGTAAGTTCGCCGGAGACATCGTCTGTTACTTTGGAATTTCAACTTTACAAATTGCCTGCAATTAGTAATTAATAAATGCCGGATAATTAATTGTCCATGCTAGCTAGTTGCTTGCTTTAGATCTACAAGAGTTGGTTTCGTGGCGCGACACGAGGTACACTTTAGTTGCTCAAATTATGGTTGGCGATGGTGGTCATGGTGTTCCTAATTGATTAGGTGGGGGTGGTGGCATGATCCCTTGAAAGCAATTTGCGTAGGCCTTGATCACATGCGCAGCGCGCATAACAGACTTTTTTAGGAACAAATTCCACAGAGAGTACTGTTAGCACTGTCACATAATACACTTTCGGCCTGTTCGCAGATTGGTTTCTAGGCTGATAAGGTGCTGGTTTATTATGAGAAAAAATATCATTGGCTGGCTAATAAGCCCTGACTGAAACCATCGAGCGAGCGAATAGCCTGTTTGTGTACAGACTACAGACTGCGAGTTGTGATCTGTCGATCTCAGTCTCCACTACCTGACCCCGCCGGTGGTTGCCGCTTTCATAAACAGAGTTAGTGTCGTTGGTTCCTGTTCCTTTCGTCTTCGTGTCTTCGTCTCGTAGCATGGCGCCTTGTGTTATAATTTAGTGTTCCCTAAATACAGCCATGATATTGGGATTCGTCCTTTTAATATAAGCTGAACAATGATAGTATATAGTACTAAACGTGCAGCATGACATTTCATTGACCGAGAAAATCGTTTTCCTTGAAAGCAAATCATTTCATGATCTTCGTGGTGCGCGTTGTTTAATCACAAAGTATTATATAATTGACGTAGTACACCTTACTTTCTCCAAAAGCTCTCTATTTGGTCCACATGCCCACCTAATCTAGCTGTCTTATGCGTTGTGTCAAAAGCAGAGCCAGGTCATTCTAAATATTCATACCTATCACTTCAATTAACATATCCTTCCTACTCCACCGATGGAACATTTCAGACTAATAAGTACGTACTATTTTTTATACAAAATGCGCGTGTCATGGTTACTTTGGTGTGTTTAGTTGTTCTGTCATGCACACAAATTCAGATTTGAAGGTTTGATTGGAGTGCTGAAGATTGAAACCTGTTGTCGGCATCTCTGATCAGTGCCATATGATAAGATTTTAAACTTTGGTCAATGCACGCCTAATTAAGTTGAAGGGACCAAATCTGAGATCTTATGTGGCAGTGGCACATATTTTGAACATACACATTCAATCCAAACAATGATTGATGAAACAAATACCTTCATGGCGTCACGGATCCAGCTCTTATACCGTTCTTCGCTTGTCCTGTCATTACAACTATACATTACCATGACTAGACCATTACGTATTTGACTTAGGGATCACATATGTGCTCCTACTAACTATGTTAAGTTGTCGCTGCTTTCATCACACAGTAAATGCATGTTTAGTCATGTGACATTTTGTGTGCAGATGGAAAATCGATCCTCCACTGACTGAATAACGGTGCCCGTCAGCAAACTGTTCAACCAGAGACGCAACCGATGCAAACTACTCTAGCAAGCACTGAAGACCAGCACTAGAGGACATTTCTTCTTTTTTCGTGGACAGTAGAAGTCAGCAAATCAGGCTGCTGTTGCCCCCAAGATTTGTCAAAAGTCCCCAGCAGTTGCCCACTGATGCACCGTCGGTGCCAACCGCTGCCAAAGCAACAGAAGCCGCCTCAGCTCAGCTCATTTCTTTGGACTCTACAGTTAAAGCTACCAGAAGTACATGTAATCTTGGACACTTCGTCGTCCAAATCCCTTTATATCGACGTATAAAAAATAGGTAAAAAGTTTAATTATCCGTACCTCCGTTCCCCCTTGCTGTAGAATAGCATTGTAGGCATATTGTTTTCGTGTAAAATAGATGAGAGCAGGGACTTGCAAAAGTCTTGTGGTTTGGGAATCGAAGCATTGGTTGTACACACTTGTATGAAATAATGATGATCCAGTTTTCACTTCGTTTTCTATACACGTGGTACGTATGTCAAGATGTTTGGCCGTGCAATCCCTGGTGGTCAATTGGTCTTGGTGTTCCTAACTTTGAAACCAGCTCGTCAGCTACCTTAAACCGTAGGGCAGCTTCTCTGAACCTGTTGTTACCTTTGATTTTTCACTGTCAAAGTCAAATGTCGTGTAGGCATTGACTAGTGTCTACTTCGCACAAGTGAATCACTCTGTTTTAGATTCATATTTTATCCGACTCAAATACTATTACCTCCTGGCTCCTGCTAGCGGTCCTAAATTTCTTAAGAGCCTGCAGGATTTTGTCCAGATCTTCATTTCCGAAGTCCTGAACTGATGGCTCAAAATTTTGTCCAGATGTTCCCCTACCCTATATATAAACATGGAAATTGGAAGATGCATCGTCGCATGGACCTGGGCTGTCTGACATTTGTTGGAAGGAATTGGCCTTCCACTAGGAGGCTTCGATAGGAACAAGAAAGCCTATCACTTGAGTTTAACTTGCCAGCACGGTCCACGTCGTGTGCACAAACTGCGAGGCTAACGGGCCCTAAACTTCTTGGACTAGATCTTCCAAGCGATCGTCACGACGAATCCTATCCATCATGGGCCGTATAGCTGGATGGACCAGTGATGAATCCACGCATAATAGCCCACAGCTCACCATCCACCTCTTTTTTCCATTTCTGATGAATGTTCAAAAAGTAGACTTTTAAATGTAAAACAATATACAGCTAAATTCAAAGAGTGACTAAACTTGGGTGGTTGAGTGTATGACCATATTTCCCTCCCAACCAGATGAGTTAGATTCACTTTTTGTATTTCATGAATCGTTGATGAACGTCTTTGTAAATGTGAAGCGATCACAAATGAGTCAACATCATCAAAACAGCGAGAAAGCAAAAAGAAGAGAGAAACGGAATAACCCGGAGACGTGACTGGGTTAACCGGCTAACTCATCAGCTTCAGAGTTCACAGCATTAATTAATATTAATTAATAATATTGCATCGGCTCCTCGACGAGAAGCACCGTCCACGTCGCCCCGAATGTTTCCAGCCATTCAATCCGTGATCGTGTGGCTCAGATTTTCTGAATCGGATTAAGCCTGGAACAGCTTCCGTGCTTCTCGTTGGCTTCTATCGCTTCTCCTCTACTTCTCCCGCTTCTCTTTAGAATCTAGAGAAGCAAATATATACCTTAGTTTCCACTTCTCCTTCAACCATAAAAAAGAGAAGCCGCATCTCTCCCGTCCCTCTCTCTCTCGTTCTCTTCGAGGTTCTCTCCCGATGCAGCGGCGACCAGGGCGACGGCGCCCCGGCCGCGATGGCCGCCGGTCCTTGGGGCAGCAGAGGCCGCCCTCCTACCTCCTCCTTCCTCCCTCTCCCTCTCTCCCGACGTGGTGGCGTGCCAACCAACCAAATGACCGGACGACGGATGGTCATGTGGCCAGGCTGCCGGGCGGCGAGCTCCCTCCTACTGCATGGGCATTACTGCACGCGTGGGCCACGCCGGTGGTGGCCGGCGTGGTTCCCCTAACGTTGCCTCCTCCCACCGAGACGAAACCCCTAGCTTGCCTCTTGGCGGTGGCGGTGAAGCTTCGCCACAATGAACAGCAAAGATTCACGCGGTAAGAACCCTAGCTGATGGGGGCTCCACTGGTCACCGATTCCCAAACCCTAATTTTTAGGACACTGATGTTATTGTTTTGTTTCCCTTTATCAAGGTTTTTCGTATATTTTCGTTTCCAGCAGAATTTTTGTCGTGCAATATGGAAAGATAAGAGATGGTTAGTGTTGTAGTTGGGATTTCGAAAAGCAAACCTATTTTTCAGTGAGCTTGATAGTTGATTCAGTCCATTTTCAAATTTGTCCTTCCTAGGAAGTTACAGTTTTTAAGTTCGACTTGATAGTTCTCTAATGACAAAGAAAGACGAGCACAACACGATATATCAGCATGTATGTAATTCTCCTATTTTTCCTTATTGGTACATGCTTTGCTTTTCGACATAATGATTAGTGGCTCCATGTAAATCATAGATCCTTAGCTTTTAGCCTCCGGAAAAGATACCTGCTCGTATGTTGAAACAATATAGATCAATGCATTGGTATGAAATGTTCAGAGATGGATGCATTGCTATGAACTGTTCGGTGGACAGTTTTTCAAATAACACTGAATTGCTCCATCTTGTAGGGTCCATTTTTTAGAAAAGTGTAGGTTGTGCAAGGTTTCTCATAGAGTTGTGTGATGATCTTCGAGCACATGCTTCGACTTATTTGCTATGCCATCCTTGATGGTCATTTATGAAAGTTTGGTGTCTTTTGTCTTCTTTAAGAATAAGAGGTTGCTATGCTCTTTCTTTTTCCCTGGCAGTGCAAATTTATAGCTCTGTACTACACATTGGTTCGACTAAAGTCATGGTACATGTTATTCAAGGTCGATGATTAGTGGGTTCCTACCTTTTTTTTGCAACAAATAATTATATAGCATGCTGAGTGATTGTGGATTGTAAAAAAATAATGTTGTTTTGTGTTTCCATTTCATCATGTATAAAAAAAGGCATTAGCATTCTTTTGTGTTAGGTTCCATTTGTTAAACATGTTGACATTACCATTCTTTTGTGTTAGGTTCATGTTTAACAAGTCAGAGAAGACAGTGTCAATTTAATTGACCAGGTAAGTTACTGAATAATGTTCAGTGATAGTTGTGCATAAAAAATAGTTCTTTACAATCTGATTGCTTTTTTCCTTTGTCTTTTGATAATAAAATTGTTGCACCACTTCATCATTGTTGGTGTAGGACTAGCGCTGCTCCATCGCTGACAAGTGCCTCCACATATGCTCCCCTACACAACTAACAGGTAGGCTCTGCCTTCAGTTTTATGAAGATTTGGAATTAATCGCAATTCACAATACCATCCATTCCATCTCAAAATTAAATACCATGGTATACCTGTGAATGCCAAATCTACATGTGTTTGATTTTTATAATGAGATAAGGACTTGTTCT